CCAAAAAAAAAAACGAATGAAAATAAATATAACTATTTTTAAGACTTAATTAATAGGTAAACACGTTGTTTGAGGGTTCATTTTTAATAATTTATATGTAAAGAATTGTCTGATTTGGTAAAACATACGTATTATATATGAAAGTCACGAGTTCAATTCTTACTAACAACTTTTCAGTTGAACCTATCGCACGAGCTCTTCCAAGTACCGTTACCCCACACATAATAAGCTTTACTCAATCTCAGATAGTGACTACATACTCATTCATCACCCAAAAAAAATGAACAAGGAAAATTAGGAAAACAACAATTTTCATTCATTAATATGAACAGTGATTAATTGGTAATAAACGTACGGGGTACAGTGTAGATGCAGGACGTTTGTTTGATTTACATCTGAACGTAAGACCATGTCGTCCGTGCGAATCAAATTGTTATGAAGATTGGTTATGTGTGTGTGCCCACATACATAGCTAGCAGCTGCTCCCTTCTCAATTGCCAAACAAGGGTAGGTCCTCCACTTACATGATTGAGTGTGTTAAATGAATAGTAGGAGAGACTTTTAAGCACGTACCATATTCAGATTAATCTTTATTTGCATTGGATCGGCTCAATTAAAGAGTAAAGTGCTCGCTAAATTGGTTTTTCTATACAAGAGAGAGTTTGAACTCTCGACCTCTCTTAAAGGATGAGAGTGCACGGTCACTCATGCCAATCAAGCTGGTTAAATGAACAGTTTATATGATTTTTGGAAAGGTGCAATTTGATTGTGGAAAAGTTGTCTAATTGGTTTTGGTTTGTTTGAATCTTTTATATATGAGGGTGTGTTTGGTTCGCACATAGGAGTTGGTAGTAGGGTGGAATGAGAATGGTTACTAATAGTAGTGCTTGAAAATGAATAAGGGAATGAAACCCTTATTGTATTTGGGTATGAGTTTTTCAATTGATGGGGTATTCGAAACTCATAGTAGTGTTCTAAAAACCTATCAACCAAACAACAACAATCATTTTCATACCCATTCCTATGGGCAAAACCCACCAACCAAACACACCCTGAGTTATGTTAAGAAATTTTTTATGTGTAAGTTTGGGGATATGTTGGTCTAACCAATTTAATATGAGAAGTGGTTGAGGTTGGATCTAAGATGGAAAATAAGTCAAGTTGCCAAGGCCATAAACACTATGGCCCAACATCATCCTATTACAAAGATCTTTCGATTAATCAAGATCTTTTAGAATAGTAGTCTTTATTAGTGTGTGACGTATTCTGTTTTGCGATTGTAATCTCATGGACAGAGAATAAGGTGAGAATCAAATAATAACTCAAATTTCTTTGTTTGATATGCAATAATAAAATTATTTTGAATTTTAATTATGTTGTTTGGTATAAGTCAAGGATCTTGTGATCTAGTGACATTAAGTTGCTCTTCCATATGAGAAGTTGTGAAAGTTGTGAGTTCGAGCCTTAAAGTATCTCCAAGATACCGGTAAAATTGCAAAAAGTAGTTGCAAAACACCATCCCACCAATTTTCAACCCTCAAAGGGGCAGCATATTTGCTACAAAACGCCATATTATTTGGCGTTGATGAAGAGTGCCGCGCCATATATGGTGCGACACTGTTCATCAACGCCAAATGTGAGTTGGGGAGGAATAGACCATTTTTTCCTGGTTCTTTTTATAACTCTAAATGTATCCTTTATTTATTTTATATGTATTTTATATGTTGTTAAATATTTATATTTAAAGTTTACATTATTAAATGTAAATTATAACATTTTAAATATTTCATTGAGACGATATAAATAAGACTAATATTGAATATATATTGATTAAAATTTCAAATACATCAAACATAATTGAATGTACTAGATGTTTTATGCTATAATTAGTATGGAATAAACTAAATTTTCAAAAATATTGTTAAATTAGGTTTTTAAATAATTAATGTTATAAAAAATTATTATTTACATCACAAGTTATATTTTATATTAAACTAATTAAGTTTTAACTAAATTATATTAAACTAATTAAATTCGAACTAATAGTTGAGAAATTAAATTATTTTAGTATAGAAATATGGTGTTTTGGTGTAAATGAGTTGGAAATGAATAAAATTTGGTATGAGAATATGCTGATAATATTCACTTTGATGTGACATTTAGTGGAGAAATTTGGTGTTTTGGTGTTGAGTGGATTGAAGCTACTCTTCGTGGAGTCAATATTGGCAGGACCAAAAGTGTCCGGAGACTTAAATTAAAATTGTCACCAAAGACAACGGACCTCCCGTAAAATTAACTTTTTTTTTTTTTTTTAACTATTTAGTTAACTAAGATTATATTATACATTTTTCTACCTTTAAATTGTTAGATCAAGAACATAGAAAATTCTTCATTAGTCTATATTAGAGCATCCATATCACGGGTTAATTGGTGGTTTTTGAAATTGTGCTAGCTGAGATGGATGAGAGAGAAAAATGTGGTGTTACTGCAAGGTAGCGTTATGTGTGGGCTCCACGTGGAGAGAGAAAAAAAACAAAAACGAAAGGAAGCTGTGCTTGTTTCGTGCACGGCTGAACCCAATGCACGCGTCTGACAATGACTTTTATATTGTCTTTTCTTTTTTTTTTCTCTCCTATGCTTTATTATTTTTTCTAATCACACTTACAAAAATCACAAAATATCTCCGCTATTATGAATGTCCTTAAATACTTGTAATTTATAAGTTATTACAGAGTATATAAGAGTAGAATTTATTCAAGTTTAAACAGTGAAGAAAAGCTAATGTCTTTGCACTTAAACGATATAGCTGTAATTCTTTCAAATAAAATATTATAAACATTCTAATTGGTAAACAGATACTATATTCTAATACAGTCAATAATATTAAAAAAAAAAATCTATTGTCACAATAAAAAGAAAATAGAAAATTGGGCACAATTGTACAAATATATAAATATACGATGGGAATATATTTCGAATTCCAACCAATATTTTTTGACACCTTTCAAACGGGGCCTTACACTCAGGTCTCGGTCTCCGCGAAGCAGAGACGGAAATCCCAAGACAAATCATCGGCGCGTGGGACACCGCACCGACTCCCCCCGAGAAGCAATCCAGCGAAACCACAAGATGACCGGAGGGGCGGTGGGGAAGCCGAAAGCGCGTGGGAAAGCGTTCTCATATATATAAAAGAATCCCAGTGGGTGACGTCATCACCTTAGTAACTGACCAATCACGGTCGGAGCCCGAATTCCAACGTGGACAATGTTGTCTGTCGTCTTCATGGATAAGCGTGTCGTGAACAGTAAATTTACGTTCTTTATCATCATCCGTCACGTGATCTACAATGGTGTTTTTAGAGAGAGAGAGAGAGAGAGAAAGGGGCAGCTGCCCTCTTCTCACTGCCACCACCTATCCATGTCAGACCCAAAGTCCAAGCTCCCAAAAAGATGAGAATCCTACCAAAGTGAAAATGGTAGTAAAAAAAAAGAAGGAAATCTGATCATATTATATATTAATATTAATCTCACATATTAATTAACCCCCCTAGATTATTGATTATTCCTTGATATTGTTAAATATGTTGGATTCTCTGCTGTTTTTGCTTGGATCCACTGTAATTCTATTTTAAGAATTCTCATTCAAATTTTTTTTTTTTTTTTTTGGTTTTTAAATTTGAATTCAAGTTCTAATTCATCTACAACTTCTTCTCATAAAATTTTAATATCAACCGTTAAAAGGTCTCTCACTCCACAACTCCACAGAGTATTTAGGAGATCCTTATAAGTGGGAATATTAGTGGGAAGAATGTAAAAGTGATTAGGAAAGAGAATAATGTGGGAGGAGAGGAAAAAAAAATTCAAAATGATTTTATATATATATATATATATATAATAAGCATGTTTGAGTAATTCATTTTCTCTATTGGTTCTCTCTCTTTCATCATTAATTCATTTTTCTTGGGCAGACTAATATCCAAACCTTTGCAGATGCTCTCCACCCCTTCTCTCTCCTGATTCTCTCTCTCTGCCACTATGGCGTTTTGACGTCAAAAGTAGTGATTCTCCCCCATTTCTCCTCTAATGTAGATGCTCTTATACTAATCTCCTAATTGAGGACTTGTGGGTCAATCTCACATTTGTCTACATTTTATAAATAAACCAAGTCTAATTACTTTTGACTGTTAATCATTATCAAATATTATGTTGTCTCAAGTTGTAGATGAGTTTAGTTTAGTAGTTCACTAAATCGTATTTGGAGATGAGATTAATGTTTGAAATTAGATATTGACAGTGGGTGGATTATGCTCAAATGAGCAAATCTCTTGTGAGATTCTTATTTTATTCACATATTAATCTAATTTGAATTCTTATTTTATTCTAATATTATTTTTTTCTACGATATTACAATTCATTTCGCGTTAATTACACCGTTTTAATGAAACACCCCATAATAAGATATTGTAAATCGAGTTTGATTAAAAAAGTATTATTACGAGCATCTCATTATGGGGATTGTTCGCGATTTTTAAGAAAAAATGTTGACATGAAAGAAAGATACTGAAGAGAGAGAATAGCCAAATTCCTCTTGTTAAATTGAGATTTTTTCAAAAAGTTGGACTCATTGCATTCTAAAACCAATCTTGCGTTGCACGCAAGAAGGCCACAATGGCGCCCAACATTAATGACGTTCTTTTATTTATTTATTTATTTGAAATCATCATTTATATATATATATATAAAATGTTTTTTATATTTATTATCATCTTCTATTTCTTAATCACACTTACAAAAAAAAATCACAAAAGAACTCATTATTGAAAATGTTCTAAGAATTAAATTCGTATACAAAAATTACATTTCACTTACACGGTGTCTTTTTAAGAAAAAAAAAGAAAAAAAAGGGAGGTGGGCCACGGGTGAGTAGTTAGGGATAGAATACTATATTCCGGTTCAGAAAGGGGGATTAAAAAGAATGGTTCAGAGCCCAAAGCGGCAGGTAAAACACCCCTTTACCGCCCTCGAGGCTATACGGCCCTTCAAGATTCTCTCCATTAATTTCCCTTCTCTCTCTCTCTCTCTCTCACAAGCTTGCAACAAAGAAAGAGAAGAAATAAAATTCCCACAAAGAAAAGAACCACTGATGTGTATGTATTATCCATCAGTAGCTTAAAACTGAGGAGCAGTACTTCTTCCCAGTTCCCAGTACACAACCCCCCCTGTTGCTTCACTGTCCATTTCCACTGTCACTATTCAAACTCCAGTCTTGTTCCCACAATACATGGTCCATTTCTCCCCCTACCTTCTCTCTCACCCTCTCACATATTTTATTCACATCCTATACATATAGAGAGAGAAAGGGGTTGGTATAAAGAGGAGGGTTTATGCAGCAGCACCTGATGCAGATGCAGCCCATGATGGCAGCTTACTATCCCACCACCGTCACCACTGACCATATTCAACAGGTCTGATCTTCTTTCAATTCAATTTCTTCCCAAAACCCTCTTTCAATCTATCTCCCTAGCTTGTGATATGATTCTCTGATCTTTTTTCTGTTATATATGCAGTAGTGTTTCCTGTTGTGTTGTTTTCATCATCATATATATACTTATTATTCTGGTTTTATCTGTGTTTGGCTGGTTCTTGTTATTGGCAGCTTGCTCATAACTGGCTAGCTAGCTCCAATAGCTTCTTCTTTTCATCTTTCTCAGTATTGGGTCTCCCCAGTTTTGTTTCTTTATTATTTTGAACTTAACTTCATATGTTGTGTTTTTTGTGTTCAGTATCTGGATGAGAACAAATCACTGATTCTGAAGATTGTTGAGAGCCAGAACTCTGGGAAACTGAACGAGTGTGCTGAGTATGTTCTTTGAATTCTTTAGTTTATTTGTTTTCCTGCCCAGAAAGGTGGTGTGATCATATGTCTCTGCAATCATTTAATAGCTACTTGTTTTCATGGTTTTCTTAAACCTAAAAACATGATGATAAGAGTGTTAATTTTACAATTTGTGATAGGAACCAAGCCAGGCTTCAGCGTAACCTGATGTATCTGGCCGCCATTGCTGATTCGCAGCCACAACCTCCCAGCATGCATTCTCAGGTAGACAGTGTTCATATCTTAGCTTAGCTTGTTTCTTCTTCCTTTCTGAGCTATGGGTATTTCTATGATTTCCATTTTCTGTTAATAATATTACTTTTCTGCGGGGCGGCAGTTCACTTCAAGCGGAATCATGCAGACGGGAGCGCACTACCTGCCGCACCAACAGGCGGCGGCGCAGCAGATCTCAACGCAGTCTCTCATGGCCGCGCGCTCGCCTATGCAGCTGTACGGACAACAGCAGCCGCTGTCTGCGTATCAACAGCAGGCCGCCGCCCTGCACGGCCAGATTGGGATGAGCTCCGGCGGCGGCGGCGGCAGCGGCCTCCACATACTACAGAGCGAGGCGCACAATGCCGGGAGCTTTGCCGACTTCGGCCGCGGATTGGGCGGCGGTGGGAGCAAGCAGGAACTGGGCGGGTCCCTGTCCATGGATGCCCGCACCGGCTCCGGCGCCGACGGCGGCGAGACGCTGTACTTAAAAGCGGCCGACGATGGGAACTGAGGTAATGAGAGATAGGAATGTTTTAGTTTGCAGAAAGTAGCTTAAGAGGGATGAACAAAGTTACGTTGCAGGTTTATGGACTGTCCTTGCTGGTACTATGTATCAATGTATGTGACTCAATTTAGGTGCCCTTTACAAAAACTTGTTATGTGTTTTGACCAAATTAGGGTTTATTTTTATCTTCAAATTAGTCTCTCATCTTTATGGCAATGATCATCATGTAAATTTCAAGTCATTTTGATTTGCTCTTTCACCCAAGAATTTAGGGCAATCTAATGGGTCATCACAAACATGTTGAATGGCATCGTACCAATCGTACTCGATACAATTATGTATGGTTGGTATGATTTTATCCTTACATAATTCGGTACTCACTTGAGAGCTAATACTTGGAGAAAGTTTATAACTCATAATAGCCTTTGATATGGAAAAATTATTAGCTTTTAAACAAGAACATAGTGATAATATGATAATTATGACAAATTTTGAGTGCCCTGATTAATATTTTATGAAGTGCACTTAGTGTTGTGCATGCCGTTTGCACCATACATATGTGGCTACTGTTTTCTATGCGGTCGTGTAATTTTGTATCACTATTGTGTTCAGAAATATACGGGCGGTGTGATGCATTTTACAAATTGAGTGGTGCATTTGTAAATGCAACACACTTAAGTGTATTTTTAAACATGTGATGGTACATTTTTATATATAGTGATGTAAAATTGCATGATTGCACAAGAAACACTAGAGGCACTAGATCTTGCATTCGTGCTCATATATATGTGTTTATAATTTGTGGTTTGACTAGACCAATTCATATGGTGGTATACCCACCTATCACTCTACCACACCTAATTTGAGCTAATGGCCCCACTATATTTTGGCACATGATTGGGAGGTGAAATTAAATGGTACTTTATTTATAAAGAAATCTTTTTGTTTGGATCAAGGTGGGTATTATATCATATCATATTGGAATTCTAAAGCATAATATTAATGATTAAAATATAATTAAGCATACAACAAATAATTCTAACCTGAATGCTCAGCTCCTCGGACTTATTACAATATATATACTATGTAAGCTTGCCTTTGAATCAGTAAAAGCGCGGCTAGCTCGTTTTGGCACGTGAACTACCGCCGGAAACGCCGTCCGGCGCCAGTTTGGCATCGCCATGCCGGCCGTGATTGGTTTCCCGGTGAGCTCCTGAACTATTGCTCTGAACTCCGACGCATCCTTGGCGTTCACAGTTACAGGATCTGATATATACTTCACCTTCACTGCAACTTTGCCGCTCTTCTTAATCTTGCCTGTGCTTTCATTATCTTCCCTGCTCCCCATTCTATCAGCGGCCTGAAATCTTGCAGTTAATATAATGGCGATTTATCTTTACATATAATATAATGCAAGAAGACTGCTGGCTGGCTGGGATGGTGATCGAGCTTGAATATGAGTGATGAAGCTTCAATTCCCAGAAATGGAGAGTGGTACGAGGATCTGGGAGAAAATATAGCGTTGGTGTTCTAGAATACAGCGTCATGGCGTTGGAAAATTTCTCCGGGTTTTGGAAGGTTCCTTTGATTTGGTAGTGTGTTTTGAAGGTAGTATGTAACTGTCAAACTCAACAACCTAAAATGTCAAAACCAAACCGTATAAAACAACGGCTTTAATTTCCCGGCCTGTGACAATGTAGATGATAATGTTTTAATGTGTTCTCGGAATACAAGTTCTTACCAACACAAAGGAATAAGCAAGTCTGAGAATGGTATTCTATTTCTGGCCTATTTCGTGAACTAAACGTGTCATGAGAGTATTCAGATGGTAGACTGTAAACAAAAATGCTAGTTGAGACTCATAATATGGAGTTACACCCAATATGGTAGATTTTTGTAGGCATCTGAGTTTTTCCACGTAAGAGGTCATTGGGTGACAATGATTTTTACCTCACAACCATCTTCTAGGGTGAGGTGTGAGGCTTCTAGGAGGAGTAATTTCGTTTTTTTGTGTACAAGATAATTATTGCACCTCTTTAATACGGAATACATTTTAACTCTACCGTTTAAAACAATTGATAAATAGACTAATAACCTAACTACAAAGAGTAAAATTTCTGAGTAATAGTAAAATTCTTTCCGCAATACAGATTAAATTTGAATTAGTCTCATATGAAATATTGAATCCTATATGCCAAAAAAAAAAAAAGAAAAAAGAGTAGACATTAGTTTTAGAATGAGTCAATTATTTGTTTTAGTTTTACTGATTCCATTCACATTAATTTTAACTTGAAGACCTTTTCACTCTCTTCTTAATTATGCCCTTTTTTTTTTACCAATTCAAACAAGTTTTTGGCCAACAATATAATCATCTTCTTTATTATTTGGTCACCAACTATTCTTTGCTTAATTGGGCAGTGATTTTCACACAGTTTAGCTTTAACTCCATCAGTGTTAATGATGTGTTGATGAAAAGTATAAGCCCTTCATTCATTATTTATCACCCTAAGGTATAACAATTGTCTTGCCATGGACCCGGTGCAGTTCAAAACGCCTGTCTGGCGTAACGGTGCAGTTAGTGGCATCGTTTCCTCAACCAATGATTTATTTATTTATTTTTTTGTAAATATAGAGTTCAAAATTGTGAATATAGAATTCAAAAATTGTATTATACTGTTGAATATAGATTGTGAATATAGAGTTCTGCAATTGTGGATATTGAGTTCTGTAATTTTGTATATTGAGATCTAAAATTGTGAATATAGAGTTCTAAAATTGTGAATATAAAATTTAAAAATTATGAATATAGAGGAACAAATTCTAAAGACAACGGCAAATTAACAAGGGAGAAAGCAATTTAAAAAAAAAAAATAAAAATAATCAGACGGCATCGTCACAACATAATTTGCCAAGCTACAATAATAATAATAATAAATTTTTAGTATATTAAAAATGTACTTTTTATTTATGCATGTATTAACCATGATTCATGTAATAATTTTTTGTGTTATGAATTGAACAAAAAATTAGAATATCAAACAAGTATATCCATTAAGCAACTAATAATCATAAACTGTAGTGTGGCTAACGTACCTATACTCTTCACGGTGAGAATGAGATGAATGGGAGCCACTAGAGATTTGAAGATGGAGAGAGGACAGAGGAGAGGATCCGCGAATGCCGGAGCTATTGACACAATGGCGCTTCCACATTTCTCTCTTATTGAAGAAGACGAAGGGAATGAAGAAAACTCACAAAAACAAAAGAAATCCGAAGAAGCTTCATTATTGTTGCGGTCACGATTGGTTCGGAAACGAATTTCATTCCGGAGGGTGATGGGTAGCGTGATCAAAAGCGATCGGAACAAGTAAAATAACCTTTGGGGAGCCAAGCATTAGCTTCAATGCTTGAAAATGGTATGCCAGCTCCATCTCCTCTATAATTTCACAATGCACTTGGAATCTGAATAAATTTGTTGCGGAGTATTTTACTTATTTATTGTTTATAATACTCAATTGGTCTTGCAATGTAGTTTATCATCATAAATTTGCCTTTATATGGGGTATGACAGTGAACCATTGAGAATGAGTTTGACGGTACTGTTCAAAGAACTGTGAAATTACATTTCAAAAACATTATAAACCATATACTTGTTGTCCCCTGAAAATTTTTCTAAAATATTTATAGCATGGTAATAACTTTTTACCTTTTTTTGGATCAAGGAGAAATGCCTGTAACATCGGGCAATAGGCATTCAACAGCAGTCTTTGAAACCAAAGTACAACTTTTAAATATGTAGTAAAATTAAAGCAGTTAAGGATTAATCAGATAGCTCAACCAATACCATATTCTCTTGGTGGTAAATTGCAAGAGATCAATTTGGATCATACCAAATTAAGGAAATTGTTTAAAGTTGAAGTCAATGCAAAAGACCAACCTAATAATGTGTCTATTTATCTTGTCTTTGGCAGGGAAGTTCAGTAAACATAATTGTAGGATCTCAGGTCTGGTTCGAGGACCCAGATGCAGCTTGGCTTGATGGTGAAGTGCACAAAATTAATGGTGATAAAATAGAGATCCATACAAGTGATGGCAAAAAGGTACTGCAAGTTGATATTCTCATTCTTTTATTTTGTCAGGTTTATTTAAAAATTGCTTTCTTGTAATTTAGATTGAAAACCAAATTTCCATTAACTTCTTTGCTTTATGGCCATCAGAGAAATAAAGTTATGTCTTAATTTATGATTTCATGTCCTTCATTGTTATGCTCTATTCCTGTATTTTCTCATTGTTTGCCTGCATGTTTAAGAAAGACACATATATCTAAACCGCTTTCATCATTCCATGTACCTTATGTACTTGTGTGTTACAATCACTAGTCTTTATGCTGTCCACTAGTAGTGCTTGAGGGAAAAGCATGCTTGCTTTCAGTGTCGGAGTGTGGGAAATTGTGTCAGGTAATGTCTTACACGTTCTTCTATCTTATTCTTTTTAGGTTGTTAGAAAGTTATCAGATGTTTATCCTAAAGACACAGAAGCTCCTGCTGGAGGTGTTGATGACATGACAAAGCTAGCTTATTTGCATGAGCCTGGAGTTCTGCAAAACCTGAAGTTCAGATATGAGCTAAATGAAATCTATGTGCGTTTTGTCTCTCAACACATGTGCTACATTTTGGGTTTTACTTTGTGCAGTATGCCTAAAGTGACCCCTCATTTAATGTTTGTACCATGACAGACTTACACTGGGAGTATTCTAATTGCTATAAACCCATTCCAAAAACTACCTGATCTCTATAATGCACAAATGATGCAACAATACAAGGGAGCACCGCAAGGTGAACTGAATCCTCATGTCTTTGCTGTTGCTGATGCTGCTTACAGGTTAATCCCGTCCAATTTGGGTCAATAATGACTATGATTTTTCCGTTTTAAAAATGACTATGATTTTTCGTTTACATTAAAGAATCTTTTACCTTCAATGATAACAGGGCAATGGTTAATGAAATGAAAAGCAATTCCATTCTGGTTAGTGGTGAAAGTGGAGCAGGTAAAACTGAGACAACTAAAATGCTTATGCAGTATCTCGCCTTTTTGGGTGGCCGTGCAGCTACTGAAGATCGTACAGTTGAACAGCAAGTTCTTAAAGTATGATATTGACATATCTCTTTTCTAATATTATTCCATGTCCATAGTCTTTTTTTCCCCCTTTCTTTAAATTCTTGTTATATGGTCCTATATCACATAATTCTTGATATTGAA